TGGACTTGTTCTTCGCCTCCATTTTTCGCTTAACATTTAACTCTTGCTGTCGTTTTCGTGATAACTTCAAGTGCGCCTTCTGTTGGCGTTTGGTCTTCAGCTCCAGTGCCTCGGCTTTGGTCTTCTTGATGAGCGAATGGAAGAGCACTTCTCCGGCCATAATTCCGTCCTCTATTTTCATCAACTCTAGTGTCAGTCGTGGACCCAATTCTGTCAGTCTATGCGCCACAACATAACACCCAAAACATAGAGAATAAAATCATTAGCAAAAAAACAGGCGATTAAGACAATAGCCCGACCGTAACGGCCAGTCATTGTCGGGTAATGACAATCACCTGATGGCACTCTTCTCGTTAACCATATTGCCTCGTGAGCTATGCTTCTGCGACAGCGTTATGTGCCTAATGGCGTCCACTTCGTCGCCCTCGCCCTCCGATTCGGTGAACGCGTTGTTATTGTCGGCCATTATGTCCGTCACGTCATTACAGTCGCCAAAGTCGGGAATCTTACGGCCGGACAACAGTTTGCGGACCGGTTTCGACAGACCAATGGGTTTCACTTTAATCGCGTAGTGTCTGAAGTCAATCAACTGAGTGTCCGGATTGTAGTTCAAGAGAATACACCGGCGAATGGTATTCAAATTGACTTTATTCACGTCAATGGAGGGCAACATATTCCTCCACATCGATGTCATCAATTTCATGCGCAACTCTTCGTCGCCGGTGAACCCGTTCAGCACCAGAAGCGGCGACAACTGGAAGAGACCGGAGTAGACGAGCGGCCTCTTGAGCGCCGACCGGACGTCTTTCGTGAGCGTATAGTTGACTACTTTGAAGGTGAGTGTCGGCCCTCTCGGCACTCGACACAGTCGGAGGTACGCGGCCTTCACTGTCTTCGTGAAGATCACCAAATGAGTGACATTCAGACTGGAGGCGATGTGCACGAAGTCCTTCACCACGTTATAGCGCTTGATCTTCAGCGACATCGCTGTAAACGGTTCCAACACTTGTCTAAAGTTGTGCAACAATTCGTTCACATTTTTGCCGACTTTACCACGTTTTATGACAAAACTGTGCGGAGCTTTTGTCACCGATTCCGGCTCTTCGCCGCCCGCTTTGGATCCCTTCTTCGACTATCATTTGGTGGCAATCGATGGTAAAAATACAAGACATGCCGTGAGTTTGCGGTTCAGATTTAACAGTGAATTAAATACATGTAAAAACATTATAAATACCTTTCGCTTCCTTTTGCCCATTGTTTGCGATAATTATATATTTGTTTTACAATTAATTTAATTATTAATTCACTAATGATTTAAATCACAATTTGTTTGTCAATTGTGTTGTGATTTTCAGTTCAATAGACAACACAAACACGTGTTTTGGTGCTGTGTTTACAATACCTGACGTCATGTGTGGGCCCTTATTATAGTGTCGCTTAACATACAAAGCAATGCTTTTGTTTGGTATCCAAAAGGCCTAACAATTGGCTCTCATTTACTGTTTTCGCATTTCAATGCCTTTTGCAGTGTTTGTGAAGGCATTTAAAAAACTAATCGCCAATCAATTGGTTGTGTTAATTAATCTGACATTTAATTTTGTTTATTAAATCATTTAACAATTATTATACATACTGAATATGTAAGTCCATTATAGATTCACTCATGCTGTTAATTCATATCAAATTAAACATGTAATCTAAATACTAGCTTATATTTTGACCATTTTTACCCAGCATATTTAAACTATGAAGTTAACTTTTTAGAATTAAACTTTTCATTTTGCACTTTGTAATGCGAGAAAGTAATTAATGTGAATATAGGTTTGTGGTAATCAATTACAATTTGGTTATTTTCTAATAGTGTTATCTTGTTTATCATGTTTTGCTGCAATATTTACACAAATCTAGATAATTCACCACATAATCCATTGCAGGGAATCCTTGTATTTTTAAGTATCAAGGTACAATATTTATCACAACATTATGTGACATATAATGATAATGAAATGACATTTATTATTTTACCCTAGCATTACTTGTTCACCTCTGTTAAAATTAATATTAGAAATATTAATAATAACTTAAGCTACATAACTATTTATGACATAATAATGCATAACAATTATAGCATATAATGGGCTATTATTTGTTGGCATTGGTGTGCAATTGCTCTCTAATTGAGTGCTTTTTAAGTGCAATTTGGTTTGCAATTCACTTGAATAACAATCCCATGCTATTAGACTATAAATCAATCAGACTATAAATACTATGGTAACTGTTTATAAGCATNCACTGGAGCTGAAGACCAAACGCCAACAGAAGGCGCACTTGAAGTTATCACGAAAACGACAGCAAGAGTTAAATGTTAAGCGAAAAATGGAGGCGAAGAACAAGTCCAAGAGTGGTGTCGCCGGCGGTAGTGGTGCTGATGCCGACGCTATGGATGCCGACGACCAACAGGTTAATAGTGATAGCAATGAATGAATGTTTTAATAATGTTTAATGAAATAGTTTTGTAATCAATTCATTATATTTTGTTTGAGATATGCTTTTCATTTGTTTTAATTGTGAAAAACATTTTTATTGTAAGCGAAAAGTTATAAAAATTATATTTAAATAAATTCATTGAATTAAAAGTTAAAAATTCGTAATTTATTAAACTACTAAATCACCTAGCCCAATTTCTAAGCTAATCTATGCAAAGTACATTTAATTTGATTAATTGATTTTACATTACGGTTAATATAGTTTCATAATTTATAACTCGTTATTAATTATTACAAACTTAATTTGCATTAAACAGTGCAAAATAGCGCTGCAATTGACTACAAGTATTTAATGTAATTAAACATTTCAACGCAAAAATCAATTAAACGACAAATTATTGCAATTTTATACATGTAAAAAGTAATCGCGATTGTAATATAATAATTATAATTAATTAAAACTATTAATAAAAGTGTTACTAAAAGCGTGTGTAACAGTAAAGTGAAAACCTCTTCACAAACGCGAGATAGAGAGCAGCTGTGTTTGCGTTCACAAGCGCTGCATATAATCAACACACAAACAGTCATACATTTTCATTGTATACTCACCGCTAAACATCACACACGGCTTCACTGTTCGTCACCAAAATCATAGCATAGGTTACTGTTATACAACATCGCTCGGCAGTGAAGCGACCTGGCATTCGAAAGGGGCAATGAGCTGAGGGGCGAATAGACATTACATTGCATACTATGCTTATTCATTGAGTGAAGTGTTGGCCATAAAAAGTGGTGAATATATTGTTGTATGGATTGAGTGGTTGTATGACTCGTATGTGTTGTTAAACAAAACACTGATTTCTCACAACACATGCCATTCAATGCGTATTTAATACTCATTTAATGTGAATTAAAAACACTATTAATTAACTGTTGATTACATTTATATACACTAATCAATCGCTACACGTGTTTAGCCACTCATCCGCCGCCGTTGTGTCCATTATTAGCGCCGATTTCAGTGACAAACACACAGAGAAAATAACAGTTGTATTGTTGTTACGCTCGCGAAGACATCACTGGAGCTGATCTACGATTGAAAGACATATACATTTGCATCGAAAACAATGGCCATCAGAACCGGACCGGAAGGGGACGACTCGGCGGCAGCGGTGGAGCGCCAGTCGTTGACCGCCACAGCGAACCCGTCATCCGTCGTCGATATACACCGTCTGTTTGATTACAATCGGTATATATTTAGCCACTCTTTGTCTTCTCCTATGAATCGGTGGCCAATAATATGTCTAATGATATGATTGTTTGTATTGTCCGCTAGTATTGACCAAAACACCCAATTATTACCGTTTCTATGGCTCGTAATGTACTTTCCGTTTGGTTTGTGTCTATTTATTATCCGCGTATTCATTGGTTTACACGCACTCCTCATCGCCAGTCTTCTTCCCAAGAAGTCTTCGTTCAGATGGTATGACCAACTCATCCGCGAACTATATTCCTCTTGTGTCCCAATATCTGACCATTAACTAATTTCTAATGAGTTGTTTATGACATAATTGTTTGTCTTAAGTGCAACCACTTAACTGCAAGTGCAGTTCTAAAGGAGGCGCCCATTAAGGCGGGGGTTGATTGTGGACCACAGAAGCGTTTATTTATAATTTAGTTAATGTCTCAATGAATTTAATACTATCTTTAGTATAATAATTAGGGCTTTAATTAAATAATTACTTTATCCTTGTTTTTAGTCATTTATGCTTTTTTATTGGTTTTGAATTTTATTTTTCAAATATCTTTATAGTCGAGTCATAAGTAATTAAATCGCTAATTAAAAGTCATTATTAGGTAATAAATATGTTATGCAATTATAATCATGTTTTTTTGGCCAATAACTTAACTATTTATATAATTGAATGCAATTTAAACTTAATATTAACTACAATAATCTTATGGTTTTAGTTTCATTTTGCGGACAATGTGTACAATTTTGGGTATAATAATCAAAGAGGAGAACGCGTCCATCGATGTCAAGTCGAAGACACGGGTAATCGTAAGCAATCACATCACAAACATCGACCACTTGGCTGTGGATCTGGTGATGCCGTGTATTGTGCCGGGAGTGTGGGATTTGCCCAAATTCCTCAACTGGGGTCTAGGGTTTCACG